TGTGAAATGAACTCTTGTCTCCATGAAACATTTACATTTGCACTAATTCTTCTCTGAAATGCAACTCTCTTGAGCTGCAACATGGCTCAATCTCTGTTTCTTGCTTGCAGTAATTGTTAATCCTATGACCTCACCATTGGGAGGTTATGAGACAAGTTCAGGAAATCAGGTTAACAATTATGAAATTTAAAAAAAAAGGGGTTTTCTGCATTTTCCTTATTAGGATTTAAAGCCCACTTTCTTATGCTTTCCTTGCAGCAAAGAACTTCACAGTTAGTCATAATGGACTTTTTTCAAGTGGGACAGTTATTAAAATACCAATCATAATGAGATTTAAAGGAAAACCATTAACTTGAAACATGCATGTAATCGTGGGGATCAAGGAATTACTAATCAAATATCCATCTGAAATGGTAGCATTGACTAGTTATTTTAGTAGCTTTTTCCTACAAAAACTTGAGAAGTAAATAAGTGATTATTGCAGTCACCTGTTCCTTGAAGGTAAAATTCAGATTATTCAGGTATGATAGACAGGAGTAGATGCCTCTACTTGGCTCATACCACACTTTTTGAAATGGAAGATGATATATTAGGAAATACGGTTCACGCAAAATGCTGTTTTTCAGAAAGACCCCTACACCTTTTCATTTCCATGTGTGAGCTCAAATGTAACATTCCCACAGCAATGGATCCTGGTTTGGAAAACTTGGCTTACAATTTCATTGTGCTTGAAAATGGTGAAAATCTGTAAGGGAGCTGTAAATGAGAGATTCAATAGCAGAGAAGTGAAGAAACAGATGGGTTTGTGAATGAGGCATGTAGAATAGTAGCACGGACACTGGCTTCTACTATTTTGTTAACCACTTATGGTCAATACAATAATCAGCTCATCAGCTTTCCAAAACTTCCCTGCTTAATAAAAGTGGGTAAGGAGAATTAGCTCATACAAGATGTATGAAATATTTGGAAAACTTTCAACTTAACTGATCTTCTCTTAATACTACAAAGATATAACTGTAATGTTGTTCTTCAGTTAAACCTTTTTAATGTCGTCCCAATGTCAAGGTGATAATGTGTAAAGCAAGTATTTTTATTTGACCTTTAACTGTTTTCCACTCCAAACCAAGGAAAGTACACAGAAGGTATTACAGAAGATCCTTTGGACAATTTTAACAATAAACATGTCCTGGTTTGAGCCAGGATGAAACCAGGACAAAACAAAATGTCATTTTTCATGCACAAGGGAAATACCAATTTCTCTTCAGGGACTGCCAGGACAAACTGTGATGCTGTCATCTGCAATCCCATCAATAGCTTCCTTGCCAGAGGCGAGGTTAAAGTTCAGAATTTGAATGCATCTTTGAATGCAACCTCCTTTTGAGTCAGATACTGAATTTTCAAGTGACAGAAGTGTAGAAGAACCACACCATCCGATTACCAGAGAAAGCTTAAAAAGAATAGACTGGATGGACTAATTACACATAGAATTTGTGTGTATGCTTTGTTGTTTTTTACTTTGAATGGTCAAAACATGCAACATCAACATTCCCTGTGAAACCCTCTCCCCTGTGATATTCTTGGGTAAGTATCAGACCATTTCCTTTAGTGACATGTATAAATTCTGCAGGTGAAAGTATCAGAAAGCATCTGCACCAAACTTATAACATGTTGGTGAAAAAAGAGAACCATCAAAGCTGTTTCTATTCCAATTTCTCAATCCAAATTTATAGATTAATTTTTTTACATATTTCCTCTATTAAAAAAAAAAAAAAAAGGGAAACAGGCTTGAGGGGTTTTATTACCCAAAATTAATTTCTGATAAATCTCTCACAATAGTTCCCACATGAATTTTGATGAAACCTGAGTTATTTTTAAAAACACCACTAGTATTGAATAACACCGTATAATGTTTTTTGAATATTTTTTTTCAATGAAAAATGTGTCTTGTGAAGTGCACCAAGCTGTTCTTTATGCACAGATACATGCTGCATCCAAACAACAGAAACAGATTTCAAATTTAGCATAGAAGCAATTGATTTTCCTCAAATATTTTTGCAGAAAACAAGCTGTTGGAATATTTACTTGCACAAAGCACTTACTATCACTCATGTAGACGTACAAAAGCCAGGTCAGAGATTTCTGATAGAGAAGCCCTGGTGAGCACCCCACTCCTGGGAGGCTGCAGCAGGTGGCTGGGTCAGGCTGAGACAGGTGCTGCCAGGGCAGTGCTGGCTGGTGTTTGGGAGCTGGGCTGGCACAGTCAGCACACTGGAAACCTGGTTGCACGTTTGGGCTCAGGGAATCTTGAAGAAAGGCCTGTGTCTTTGCAGCTTAGCAGTGGAAAGTCCTCTGCTGGTAATCAAAGTAGATGAATAAGAAAGGAAAAGCTGGAGCGCATCAAACTCACATAACCTGTCTGAATCTCTGCTAGCTAGTTATTCCCAAGTACCTGCAGCTGAGCTATGACTTAAAACTGCAGCCAAAAACTTAGGGGCTTGGCAAAGCAGGGGCTCTCACAGCGTGCTGTGACAGGAGTCAGACAAGGTATTTGAGAGAAGTCAGGAATTCCTCTGCATCCATAATAATGAACATCTGCTCATTCACACAAACAAACAAGGAATACCTCTCTCTCTGTAAGGAACCATAGATGTTCTCCTACCTTCAGCTTTCAGTCTGCATTCAGGCTCACAGCTGCAAGTCAAAAATGTTATTTCTGCTCTGCCCTTTAGCTCTGGGGTACAAGTTTTGCAGACACCAGTACCTGCCCCAGCACTGGTCTGATGCAGCGAGGGACAGTGCACAGCATCCCTCCTGACAGAGGAACAGACTTTGCATGGAAGGCAGGCAGATGTATTACTCACCAATTTACACAGATACGCCTTTCCAGGTCTCACTCCTACATCTGTAACTGGGAAATTGGTGGTATTTTTGGTGTCTGAAGCCTTTGCTAGCCCTGCAAACTGAGCTGAGGTTTTAGGGAGCTGGCTGGGAAGCAGTTTCTCAGAGTGTGGCTGATCAATGTGCTTCCTTTAGGCCAACACTTCCAAAGCAAGCCACAGAATGGCTCTGGAAAAGCTATTAGAAAGGAGTTTTACAAGAAGTTACCTCCCTCCTGGCAATTTCCCTTGGTATATTTGGGCTTTGTACCTTTAGGCTGAACTGCTGACTTTAACAAGGCAAATATCAGAACCATAAATACATTCTGGCACCCTATGAATTTTCTGGTTTGAGTGATCCTTATAAAAAGTAAAAGTGTAAAATATGGTAGAAAAGAACTGGTCTATTGCACATATTTTGGTGTAGAAATAACTGCTAGAGAAATATGAAATTCTCTCTCGGATTGACTTTTTATTCCTTGGTCTTACGCATGAAGCAGGCAACTGATGCTAAACAGAAGGGTTAGTAAACTAAACTCTTGCTGTGTTCATCATACAGCTAAGCACCTCATTCATTTAATAATTTGTTTATTCCTTTAGGTATGGTGTGTCAATAAAGTTCAGGAAGGCAAAATGATAGACTGAGGATATATAAGTAGGTAGATAAAGGGTCTTCACCACCACTTCATATTGAACTGATAAATTGCAAAGTTATTGCAGTGTTGCTGCTACAAGTCTTGCTAAAAGCCATCCAAAATAATGTATGGTGCTTCTGGGGATAAACATTATTGGAAATCAGAAGATCAGCCATAATTGTACCTTTGATGCCTTTGTACCTTTGAGCCTTGATGTAAGAAGGTAGAAAGCAAGAGCTGGTTTTTCAATTTAGGTAAATTTTTTGAGAACATTGCTTGTGATTGCCTTGTTTTTCCAATAAGAAGAATATTTTAGGATCCAGTTCTGTCCATAATGGTGCAGTTTCAAAAGCAACACACACATTAAAAAAGAAACAAAAAAAAACCCCCAAAAACAAAGAAAAAAGACAGAGAAACATAGTCCTAGGCAATCTTGGCCTCATTACATTCCTGCATTCATTCATTTCCATTTCAGCTGTGAAGGGATAAGTGAGCTGATTGAGGAAGGATAACAAGCCAGATCAGAGAGAAACTTATTTAGAAGTCTAAAAAGCCCAAGTAATTTGGCATGTGTTTGTTTCCTAAGGTAACTCACCACTGCAAACAAACACAGCAAAATACTGTGGGGAAGTCCTGAATCAAAATTCAGAAGCTAATCTACAATCTGTTAAAAGTTGCATCCTATTTCTAACTTAGGATAAACTATGCAGGCACATACAAATAAGTGAACTGGTGTAGCAAGCATAAACATCAAAGTAATTAATAACTACTAGCATTAACTGGTTAAGGAAGTGATTCTGCTCCTCTACTCTGCACTTGTGAGACTTCACCTGGAGTACTGTGTCCAGTTCTGGAGCCCTCAACACAGGAAGGACATAGAGCTCATGGAGTGAGTCCAGAGGAGGGCTACAAAGATGATGAGAGGGCTGGAGCACCTCAGCTATGAAGACAGGCTGAGACAGTTGGGGCTGTTCAGCCTGGAGAACGAGAAGGCTCTGGGGAGACCTTACAGTGGCCTTCCAGTACCTGAAGGGGCTACAGGAAAGTTGGGGAGGGACTTTTTACAAGGGTATGTAGTGATAGGAGTTAATGGATTTAGGAGAAGAGGGGAGATTTAGGTTAAACATTAGGAAGAAAATCTTCACTGTGAGGGTGGTTAGACACTGGAACGTTGCCCAGGGAAGTTGTGGATGCCCCCTCTCTGGAGGTGTTCAAGGCCAGGGTGGGCAGGGCTTTGAGCAACCTGGTCTAGTGGAAGATGTCCCTGCCCATGCAGGGGGGTTGGAGCAGATGATCTTTAATGTCCCTTCCAACCCAAACCATTCTATGGTTCTATGATTTTATGAACTGCTGCATGATATGACCATAATATTTTTGAATGTATTTTGGATACATATAATTTCAAAAATAAATCTACAGTATCACAAAGTTACTATGAATACTACATTTTCATTAGAAAAAAAAACCAAAACACAGCAATTTTCCTTACCTGCTATTGCTTCAATAGTAGGGATTGCAATAGTGCTATAAGTGCTAATACATTTACAGGACCATGTGCGAACTATAGTTTCCTCTGCATTTTCCAGGCCTGGCACTCTGTCCACGAAGAAAGAGCCCCACTGTCTAGATATAAAGTAAGGAGCTTTGAGCTGATCTCCCTGAAAGAAAAATAAATAAATATGTAATCTTAAAAGAAAAAGAAATCTGTCTTTATCCAACATGAGTTATGCAAATCCAGTTTCTCTGATTTTCTAGGAAAACTGTATTGTACCTCATGAGCAATGTGACTTTAAAATATTATAAAGAAAACCAGTAATAGTCTTCCTCCCACAAGTTCCCAAGCTCCTGTTTACACAATTTATGGATTCCCTAAATCCATAAATTAAAAAGTTGGATTAAATAATTTTTCCCTTTAAAAAAGGCTTCTCTTTTCCCTGTTTTTCTGCTTTGTTGTTGTTTAGCAAATTGTGAAAAACGGATTTTTTCATTAATATTTTCAGACAACAACATGTAGACTCGTGTTTTAAAGGAAGCATTAAAGCAGCATTAGTAAAACCGATTTTTTTAGCAGTTCATCTTGAAACCTGCTATATATATTGCCATAAGCAGCCAGAAAAAGCTCCAGGAGGCCTCTACAGAAAGATGAAACAATGGAAATCAAAATTATGAACTACACTATAGAAAATCTGTTAAAATAATTTGTGTGCAAATTATCTTTTCAGACCAGCAAAGCACAGAAGAACAGATATTGTAGTGTGTGCCTCCAGATGTGTGAACTTTTGTACTTTATTTTCCATTCAACCCCTTTTCTTAATGGTTTTGAGAATCTGCTGGAATAATTTGTATTTATGAAAAAGGTCCATGGCTTTGATCACATGAAAGCTGTTGATGCAGCTGAACAGTAAACACAGAGCCATTCTTTTTGTGATTTTGTGCTTTCTTCTCTGAGCATAGCTGGGGATGGTGAGGAAGTATTGATTCAGACAAATATAGATATTTGTTTCTGTCTTCTGATGTAAATAGGTTTGGAAAAACCTCTTATCTTCTGTTTCAAAACAAGCAGTTAACTTCTGAGATGGGCATTTTTTGTGTTTTGTGGTTTCGTTTTTTTTTTCTTTTCCCTTCATGCACAGGGAGAGAATCTTGTATCATTTCTTGCCAAATCTTATCTTGCCATGCAAATACCAGAAATTTGTATCAGTCATAATTAAGTGTAGATAGTATACCGAATTAAAATTAGTTTGCCAGCTGGATGACAGATGCAGAAAACTCTTAAGGCTGTTCCAGCTGTCCAGTTGATTAATCAAAAGTGGCCCACACAAGGATTTGCACAAAAGACCAGGCCTTGTTTATTGACAAGGGAAAAAAAAATCTTAAGACTTCTGCTTTTTGAAATGTTTGACTGGTTCAATAGACACTTAAAATTTAGGAAATGGACTAATTTCTTCAGAGGTCTGATTCTCATAGTGGGAATTTTTAAGGAGGAAGGAGTGACATTTTGCATTTAAAGCCCATGCTTTTAGTATAACCAAACCCAGTTAACTATGAGTTGTCATCAAGTCACCTGGTAGAAAAGTCTTATCGTTTTGCTACTGGCTTATCTCCACACGACAAGGGCAGTTTGGTAGGGTAAATCTTGATCTCAAATCTGAAAAGAGATGTCAAAGCTTTGCCCACATCCTTAGGATGCATCAGATATCATTCTTTCTGCCACCTTTAACTAACGCCTAGAAGACTCTGTATCTCATCTGCAGCATACACACTGCCTGCCACGAAGGACAGACCATGTTCCCTGAATCTATAAATATGTAAAATGAGGCAAAAGTTCCCCATTAAACTCAGTACTCCTCACACGCCTGGTGGCACACATTCAGCGGGGGTGGAGGAGCTCTGAAAGGTGCACAAGCTACTCCTGTAGTCCACAGACGTGGGGTTTGCTCTCCCAGCAGGACAGGAGATTCTGGGAAGTGCTGAGCAATCAATCTCTCTTTCTTATGCAAAACTTCCAAGCATGTGGTTTTGCTCTCAGGCATGTTGGTGAGACAGTAGCAGGTCAGGTGTTGATTGTGTCAGTTAAGGGTATAAAGCCTCAAAGACTCCATGCAGACCTCAGAGAATACCAACATTCTCCAAGTCTCAGGGCCTTCTACCAAGTTAAAACCTCTGGAACACTTACTATCACCTTTGCTTTATTAACCGCAGACAAATATGGCCTCCTGACAGAGAAGACAGAGTCCACTAATAGGACCCTTAGGTAACACTGATTTGTCAGCTTACAAATCACCTTTTTAAATTGAAACAGACAGGGAGCTGAGCTCTGAAGTTTTTCTAAATTTGGTAAAGAGATGAAAGAAAGGAGGATGTAAAAGAGACAGGAATGAAAAAATCAAGCTGTTAGCATTTTTTTTGAGGCATTACTTTGATGGATATTTGCCATTTATACCATAATCTTTGTACCAAGAGCTTAACACTAGAATTACTTTACTGCACCCGATGTGACAGATGGAACTGACTTCTGTTTGCTGTGTGCCAAGGTAGTAACACTGCCACTGACTCAGTGCCAGAAAAAAGCAGTGCTCAAAATATAGTTTTGCCAGTATAATGGCAAGTATTTATGGTGTTTCTGTCAGCATAGCTGTGCTGGTCACAACAACCAGATGTTCCTGAATAACACACCCATGCTGGGTGTGCAAATTGGCAAACCTACTGCTGCTTTAATTTTTGAACAGAACCCCACAAGTCCCATGCAAATAGAAAACATTTCAACAATGATCATTGTACCTAAACTATAACATGGATCACTATAAGCAGACTTTTGATTTCACTTCAGGATATTGCTTTAAGGATATTGCTTTAACTCATCAGGTTTCACAGCAGCCCATTAGGGTGTTCCTGAAAGTCCTGTTAGATTTGTGTTAAAGATAAATGAGAATAAAGAGGAAAACAGAGCCAAAAGGCACAGAATAATTAGCCTTCTCTATGGTCAAGGACATAGAGCCCCAGAGATTCGGGGGGGCTGGGGGCTAAGGACCCTGATCCCCCCAACCAAACAGACACTAGGCAATACTGTAAAAATGAAGTTTTTCCTTCTAACTGCAAAAAGATCACCTGTAACTGCCAATAAATTATTTGATTTCTGTTCCATTCATTCCTATAGCCCAAGGTTCTTACACACTGACTAGCTCCTCTGTGATCACTTCCCTAGAAATTCTGGGACAAATTCCAGCTTTTCTTTGAGTTTTCATTGATGGAATCGAACACACATATAAAGAACAGACAGCAAAAACAAAGCCTCCAGCCAAGCAAACAAACCCCCAAATCTGGGGGGAATCTTGTTTCAACACAATGCTTGGTATTTCTTTTTCCCCCGCATGTGGCAATTCACTTAGGAGCCAAGTAATTGCATGAACAGTTTTTAGTTTGCTGTTCTCTTGGTCATTTGGTTATGATTCATATACTTGAAAGAACTGCAGTTGTTACCATAATTTCACAGTTATGTGTATCTGGCTTATATCATGTGTTTAATTGAAGGGAAAAGACAAAAGCTGCTAATGAAAATGGAAATTAATAGCCTTCCAGCTCCTGTGTGAGGAGGTTGTTTTCTTCCCCTCTCCCTGTTAGTGATGAAATATCAGTCAAACAACTGAAAACAGTTTTTCGTAATTTTACTGAAAGATTTAATTTCAAATTAGAAGTAATACTTTATTTCTTTAATAACGTTTTGTAAAGGTTGATAGAAAGGAGGATTACATCTTGTATTAAACTTTCAGTCCCTCTCTGCACACATAGCATGGCATGGTAAATCTGCAATAGTAGTGTATTTTTTTATTGCCAACAAATGAGAAGGCTGATGAACAAAACTAAACCTATTCCGTTAGTGCTTACTTTTCCAAGACCATCTGACTTTGTACAATCTTTTGAGTTGGCTTTTCTCTCCTCTTAGCCAAAGGGTTAATGGAAGAAGTTGATTAGGGGAATGAAAATAGAACTTTCATAGGTCTGCAAAGGGAGTCCCCTTTGAACTAGTCTTGTTAAGTTAGTGGTGTCCAGTCAACTGCAGAGATATGGATGTGATCTGTTGTTCAGACTCCAGTGAGCAGCGTGGTAATGAAATAACACCACTGACCTGCCATGGCCCCCCTGGTTCAGGTTCCTTTAATCAACGCGATTCATTTCTCCCTTGCTTGCTGGCTGTCATTGGTAGCGGATGTAAACTGAACAGGGGTTGTGTGTGGCAGGGGTGGTGTCTCCCCGAGATACTGCAATCTCTTATCAGGAATACTACAGTGTCAGTGAAATGTCAAGCACTTGTCTAAAAGTCTCAATTTCCTGCTTGACAACTTCAGCGATACAGAAGATGGATCTTGTGAGCAGACAACCAGAGGTATTGCAACAGGAGAAAACTAAATCTTATCAAGGTGTTAGAAACACATCACTCAGTAACTCCTTCTTTGTACTTCTAGGAAAATAAACATTTTCTGGCTGTCTGTTTAAAAATCTGTGCCTCAAAAGCACATATTGAACATGCTTAGGAAACCATGGTTGAATGAAAAACCCCAAGCCCCAGAGAGATGTAAGTTCTATGCAGCAGTGCAGCAGAGTCTCCATCCAGACAATGAACAATTTTCTGGAGGAGAACGAGTTATTTTTATAGCATAGTAGAGAAACAGGTATCACATCTATATTGTTTTAGTCTCATTGAAGATATCTTTTTGTCCATAAAAAACAGGGGCTTTTAAAATGCCTCTTAGCCAGAAAAAAAACATCTCTAGTATAAAAGCACCCCACAAAAATCTTCCTGTCAGTAAGTTCACTTTTTAATTACAAAGAACAATTACTTAAGAAGAAGAAGAAGAAAAAAAGGCAAAGAGCTTTTCAAAGCCAAGTGTAAAAAGCATATATATCTCTCTGCAATTAGAAGAAAATGACCTTTCTATTCAGAAACTACAGAAAAGAAGAAACACTCCAAAAGCAGAGTGAAGCAGCACTGTAGTTCCTACATAGGACTCAAAGGAGATACAAACTGCCACCCTGGCCATCCAAGCAATTGTTCCCTGTCTACTTTGTTTTTCTGCAGCAGAGAGAAGGATGAACCATAGTAACCTTCCACCTTCCATGGGGGAATGAAAGTGTGGCAGTTGTGCTAAGGCCCTGCTTCCCAGCTGCTACGCACCTGAAAACTGCATTATTTATCTCAGGTAACTATCAGTAGTCTGCATGGAACCAGACTTTGAAACAGTCCCTCTTATCTGAGCACAGCTGTCACGGAAATAAACAACCTGCGAAGGAAGCAGCAAATTAAAAGTCCTTTGTATATAAGAAAAACACAAGCAAACTGTATTTCATGGAGGGAGAAAGCAAGCTTTAAAAACATCTAATAAAAATTCCAGGTGCTGGACTTGAGATAAGTGGCCATGAAATTTCTCCTTGTAGGACACAGGGCAGGTTCTTGTTACTGAAAAGAAGATTGTGGGTTTTGGTTAAGGGACTGCACATACAGCTCTTTTTCTGAGGTCTGTGATTTAGCTCCAGGTAGAGACTGTGTGCCACCCAAGCAATGCTGAGCTGGGACAGGATGGCATCTCCCAGTGCAGCCAGGAAGGTACGTCTGCAAGGGATGCAGATGCTGCCAGCAACCTGGTAAGGTCAGCAGGCTCATTCTCAGCACAGGTGACAAGAGACGTTTTTGTAACTTACTTTCTTCTGTTCCAGGAAACGTCTGCAAGGAACCCTTACCTCATATTTTCCTTTCTTCTCCAAGGGCTCAGCTTCAGTCTCTGCAGGCACTGTAACTTCATCTCCTAGAAGCTCCTCTAAGATGAAGACGGTTTCCCAGTTGCTATAGTGACGTGCTGGGAAAATATCTGAGTGCATGCTGTCACCAAAATAAACAACCTACGAAGGAAGCAGCAAATTAAAAGTTCCTTGCATATGAGGAAAACACCAGAAACACTATTTAGCAGAGAGAGAAAAAGAGCTTTAAAACAACCTAATAAAAATTCCTCCATGTTTACAGTTCACCATGACACACACAGATCTTATTAATGTCACAGTTTGGGGGTTTCTCTTCAACCAGCTCTGTAAGGAAAAGCCTGGTCCAGCACGCCTTCTTTGCTCTCACCCTCCAGGGGCCTTGGACAAGAATATCCAGCTGCGACCAGCACAGGGGACACAGCTGAGATTTTTGACTGATAGAAATAGCCTGCAAGGAAACAGTGGAAAATACTACAAAGAAAACACACTAAACAACGGGAATTAATCTGGGACAGCTTTGGAAACAGGGGAGAAGATGGAAGATATCTTGGAGACTCAGAACTGTTGTGTGCCCAAGGTTAATTTACACCTTAGGGAAAGTGCAGTCCCACTATCTTCAGTGGCCTTTTCACCCATCCAGACCTGTAATTAAGATAACATAATCCTAGTTTTCATTGATGCTACCTTTTAATCTATTCGATCTGTTTCCTCAGGGAGGTTGTTTATTTCCTGATTACAATTTGATTCCCTCCAAAGGAGCTGAAATGCATGGCTATGCACAAAGAACAAGACATCTAGAAAGTTTACATATTGTACCAGTAAGAAGACTAACATGCTGCTTCCAGCTCTCAGACATCAGCAGTCATAACCAGAACAAAAATTTGTGACCAATCATATGAATAACTGTTAACAAAAGCTTGTCTGGTGAACTTCAGACTGAAACAGGGTATTTTCAGAAGGTTTTACTCTCACTTATAACATACCTTGGGATCCAACTTGCCAGTCATCTTCTTCAGTAGTTCATAAAGCTGGATAGCATTACCTTGGGAATACCACCCGGGCTTGTCCAGTGATAGCAGAGCTTCCTGCTCCTCGTCATTCTCTGAAATCACCAAGCAATCACCTGCTGTTAGTGAGCTCAGCCCATGCTCCTGTATTCATGAAGTGTGAGAGAAGCAGCCTGTGCACAGCTTGAAGAGGATGGTCTGTTTTGACATTTAACTAGTTCCAGTGTCTGGCTCAAGTCCTAATAGTGACCGTGGGTTCAAGTCAAGGTGTTTGTTAGCTGGTGGGAGACACACATTTGTGAGAAAAGAAGCAGCTGGGCCTCATCTACAAGGGCTACAGAGGAGCTGAGGAATCAAAGCCACAGGCTTTGCCTCCAAAACACTGCAGCAGTGAAGGCAGGAAGCCACATGGACCACAGACAGAGCAGCTGCTACAGATCTAAGGCAAAACCATGAGATAGGACAGGCTGTAAGAGACAGCATGTACCTCTCCCCACAGACAAACTATCTACTGCTTTTAAACACTGACAAAAGACAAGAAAACAAACTGAGATAGCTCTTATGGGCATTTGTTGGCCTTAGATCAGCATAAACAATGAGCAGTTCCAGTTATCATCCAGTTTTGAAGAAATTATGAGTGAACAATATTGCTGCTTGTGGTGTAATCCACATTGGCATATATACACTCTGGCAGCTGTCAGTGAACTGGAAAAATCAGCAGAAGCTGCAGCTTTCCAGTCATCACCCCACTGTGCCATAGGCTTCATTTCTAGCTAGTTCCATAGCAGCTGGATCTCTCCTGGCATCCATGTAACCTTATTGTTCATTCAAATCCATGTACTGTTGCCAGATGAACTCTTTTTAGCTTCTCACTGGAGCCAAAATACTAGCTTTAGTGAACCGATAAACTAGAATTTCAACAGAAATATTAATATTAATGTCTTCTGTGTATTGAAGTGGTGAGACAAAAGGGTGATTTTGTTATTCAGTCTCAATCAAATGTGTCTTGTTTTTCATACTAGAGGGTTAGAAGCCAATACAGTACTTTGATATGATTTAGGTATAACAGCAGGACAGTTTTTCTCCTGCTTTATAGAATTTTTCAAAGTACTTAAAATGTGTGAGGAAGAAGACTAAGACAGAACAAACTTCATTTGATTAGAGACTGCTGAAAGCTGGAATGCAAATTTTGGAGAACAATGAACTGACAAGACAGGTTTGTATTTGAGAACACTGAAGATGTACATAGTGCAGTACATTGGTCCTCAAAAGAAAGAGAAAAAGAAGCAGAAAGAGGGAAACAGGTATGTTGAGGGAGGCATTAATTAATTGTTTAATAATTGAATTTAAGAATTTGAATAAGCATAGGATTTAATCTCAGACAAAGCAGTTCTATATTAAGAGTGTTTTATAAACTAGGAAAAAAAACAAGGAAACTCAAAGCTGACAGTAATAATTCATGTAGAACTTGTGTGGAAATGTGTTTTCCGTTGTTCTTTTTCAGAAACCTAACGATAATAATAAGCATGATAGCATCTATAAATAAAATAATCTTAATTTCCTGACTTCTAAAACACTTTTGACCAAACAACTTTTGATCAAACAGAAGTTGTCAAACTTCAGCAAATTTGTTTTATTTGCCCTGTATTTTTAGACATATTTGTACGGCTGGCTGAACAAGCAGACACAACCTTGAAATTATATGGACATAGAAAAAGAAACAGGAAAACAATTCTGAGCTGCTATCAAAAATTTCTTGAAATTTGTGAAGGTTTGTATAGATATAATTGTCTCTCCATTCAGTCAATCAGGAAAATACTGGAGAAAAATGGAGCAATTATGAGAGGGATTTTCAGAATAAGAACATTTTATTTGAAAACAGGAGCCCTATGTATTATAGCAGCACCAGATGGCTCCAGCAAAGGGCAAGACCCTGCTTTGCCACCTCTATGGAAAGGCATGAGGGGCAGTCCTGACTGAAAGAATTCATTCTAATTACAAGGCAGAAGATCTCTCACTCTGTGAGATCTATTACTGTCACCTCTAGCAATAGAATTCATCACACTTTACTTGATGCATCCGGAATGGAGGCTTCTAATTTACAGTTACAATATGATCTAGTCAGCCAGGTTCTCTTGGTAGGCAAAAGAGAGCACAAGAAACACTTTTTAGAGGTGTCAGCTCTGGAGAAGGAAAGGTTTTAATTCAGTTAGGAACTTCGCTTTTAAGGAGTGAAATGAAGGGAAATTTCAAAGCCTGGTTTCCTTCTCTATGCTTGGAGGCAGCAAAGAGAATTGAGATATCTAATGCATTATGTGAACACCTTGAGTTTAGAAAGTGTCAGAAATATGAGGAATTAGGAAATGTCCTTTATGATATTTGAGTTGTAGGGTTACAGGGATAATAACTCTGAACTGGCAAATCTTGCCTCAAACCATCTCAGATGGCTGCCTGTGCTCACACCTCTAGGGGCAGCTGTGTCAATTTTATTTCTGTAACCTGAAGTGGGAGGAAATTAATGGTGTTTCACTTGCAGCATTAATGAGAGGGGTTTCTAATCCACATACACTTTCCCTGTGGCAAAATATAATAAAGACTTCAGTTCTGGCTGTTAAGGCTTCTTGCAGTGGTTCTGCCACGTAAAAATTGATACAGAAAAACTTCAAAACCCATTAATGACACCACTGACTCTGGCCTTGTATCCTTCAGATAGCAGCTACATGACAGCGCTGAAGAAATCTTCAAATTTCCTGCAAAAATGTTGCATAAATATGATGATGATTGTTTCTAATATATTTTGGATCTTCCAAACTTAACATTGTCTACACTTAGAAAAGAGGAAAGTTGCTTCTGACCTTCCTTCCACTTCACTGTTATTGATTCATAAAAGTTCAGTGAAAGGTCAGAAATGCTATAAATATTCCTTCGGCAGGAAGCAACACATACATAGGCGGGGATGCTAATGCTTCAGGTCTTACAAGATGGGAGGAAAAGGAGATGCCCTGACAATTTCAAACAGACTGAATAATCAAAAAGAATTTCTCAGATGATTTAGATAGAACGACATGCTTCCTTCTGAAGTCCAATACTTAACTGCAACCTGGATTCCTGACTGAAAACGTGTCACAACAAGAATGTAAAGGTAGTAAGCAATTAAAATTGAAATAATTAAAGCAAAAAAAATTAATTCTGTTAAAACACTCACCCAAACCTCAACAGTGATTCACAGCAATTTTGCTGAGGGGAAGTTACTGTTCCTTTATAAAAATAACAATGAAAGCTTGTCTCATGGTGGGGTAATATTAATATTGCTGGAATGGCAATTTGCATATTGCTGTGTCTAATGGCTTGGGAAATGTTTCCTGATTCAGAAATGTACTCCTATCACCATTAGCAGATAAGGTTTTTCAAATAAACCAGTTTATTAAAAGACTCAATGTCCTCTTTCTTCTGAGAGTTTTCTTGCCTGCTGTTAAATATGAGTTGCAGGTTTACAACATTGGCTGAGGAACATCTGGTTTCATTTTGAATGAGTATGCAAAAAGTAATCAGTGAAGCTTATTCCTATTTAAATGACAACTGATGGTAATTAACTTTGGCACAGAATCACTCCTCAAGAAAGACTCTGCACACACTTGCTTACTGCTGTCTGCTTTGCTATCCCTTTACAGGTGATATCCACCCAGACAGAAACCTAAACACTGCTGCCTGTTTTGCCATCTTTTTATGGGTGATACTCACCCAGATGGAAACCTGAAGACATGAAGTGCTGATGTTGTGTCCATGCAGGATGTTCAGCCCAGGGTCTGAGCCTGGAACTCTATTCCTAACCTGGCTGGCATTTACACTGTTAAATCCCAGCCCATGGGATGAGGCTCTCATTTGGGAAGCCTGAAGTTAAGAGAGAAGCTAGGAGGTAAGGGTGAATTTACACTCCAGCAGTTATTCACCTACATGGAGGTTAATTTTCACCAGCTCACCAAGCCTGAGGCCCCCACTCTGCACTGCTCCTCCAGCTGGATGCCCTAGGATGAGTGTTGGTTTCCTACTGGGCAAGGAGCTGTGAACCAATGTCATCTCACACCTACTTGACTGGGCAGAGACTGGGGTAAGAAAGAACTCCAAGTACTCAGAGGCCACAGCAACTGAAGATGTGCTGGGTGTGACTGTGGTATTAGGTGTACAGCTCCTCAACTCCCCCTTCTTCTGCCTTATCTTTCTCCTGACGACATACTACTTTCTTCCATAAAAATCTAGATAGAACTGCTATAAGGGTTACTGATATTTTTTGTTCCTCTGAATTACACAATAAAACCATGTGGTGATTCTGTTGCTGCTTGTGCCTGTTCCTGTTCCTGCCTTTTGCCATCCCTGGGCAGCTCTTGCAGGCTCTCAGATCATGCAGCACGGATGGTCACATGCGCTTAGCATATTGAAGCCCTGGTTACCGCCTCAGAGGGCTATTGTAAAACAAGTACATTTCATGATCCACAACTATCATCCATATATGCCTGCAATTTAAAATAATGTCAGTTCTGGTCCTGAGGGCATTAATATAAAAGTTATGTTCCAGCCCAGCTTGCAAGCACTGTCTGATTCTAGATGGCATCTCAGGCTCACTTGAGAAACACAAACTCTCTTTTCCAGAAAGGGACTCAGGACAAGAAAGCCCATCTTTATACAGTTGAGACAAAGAGATGTGCATAAAATCCTTCTGGTAGAAGGTAGTTTTCCAGTTGTAAACGTAATGAGATGGCATGACATAAGCTGTAGAGTTCCCCTGCGGGCAAGCTCTCCATGAAGAAAGCAAGTACTTACAAGCTTGCTGGAGGTAAAACTTCATCTCCAAATGGGCACCTTTCTTGAGGGTAACACCCCAAATTCCTATGTACAGACCAACACCTTTGCTGGGTTGCTTCCAGGCTTCATGCAGGTATTACTGTGTTTCACCATCACTGAATTACTTCTGTGCCATGGAAGCAGCTGTGAAATCCATCTGCCTGACACGAACACCAGTGCTTGCCAGTCTCCTGGCTGACTGGACAACTGCAGGAAAGTGATAAGGGGTAAATTATTCCTGTAGCACCATGTCCTT